GGCAGATTCTCAACCACTGCGCCACCAGGGAAGCCCCAAACAACTGGTTGTTTTTGAAAAGCGGGGGTGTGGATGCCAACTGTCGGGGCAGATGCCGACACTCCTGTCTACAAACTAGATTTGGCTGACTTCCTGAGGTCTCTGATCCTCAGTTTTCTCTTCTGTTCTTTGGAGGTATTAATAGCACCCACTAATGGGAGGATTAAAGAGCTAGTAAGCGTGAAGTACCCAGCACTGTCCCTCGATAACCCCCTTCCCAAATACGTCTGGGGAGGCATCATGGCATCCAGAGTCCTTTCTAGGCCCAATATATTTTCATTCAACAAGCATTTCTTGAACACCTACAGTGTGTTCAGGGCTTCACTGAACAATGAGCCGGAGCAGATGAATAAGTGGTGTGGAGGAAGGAGGAGGTCTTCTGGTTGGGGGAATTGATCAAGAAAGACTCCAAAGAGGAGGTGAGCCTGGAGGGACAAGCAGTGTTTCTGCAGGTGGAGTTGAGAGGGAGACATTTCTGGGAGAGGGAATGGCAGGAGCCACAGGCAAGCTGTTGTGGCCCTGCAGCGAGCAGCCTGTTGTGGTTGGAGCTTAGTGCACCACTGTCACTCCAGGGCCTGTCCCCCATGCCTCTGGTGTTGGGGTCTTCCCCAGCCAGCTTCCTTTGGTCAGCTCTGTGACCTAAGTGACCCAGACTTTGATCTGGGGTATGTCTGTCTGTCTCTCATATACATAGAAGGATAGCTGGCATGAACCTCCCAACCTCTCTTCCAATATGACCCCTCCTTCAGGAAGCTCTTCTGGATTGTTCTTCCATCCAGAAGAACTTAGGGTGCACTTAGGATGTGTGTGTGTGTGTGCATGCGCACGTGCCCACATGTATGTGCCCTGGCCACTTGGGTCCAGCTAGAGACTGGCCCAGGGAAGAGCTATCAGGGAAAGGGTTCCTTGGTCAGACCAAGCTGGTTCAACCCCGGCATATTCGCCGCTCCCACGCCACTTTCAGCCTGTGGAAATTTCCGCATTTTCTCTGCCATGGTTACAGCTCCTACTGCTGTATTTATCACCCTGGAGACACAGTGGCACAGGCACACACATGCCACACACACACTCATGCCCTGCACACACGTGGTGCCTGCATACTTTCTCCTGAACTTACACACACACACACACACACACACACACACACACACACACACACACACGCTGCACGTGTATGAACGCCCCTGCACACAAAGCTCTCTAGGAAAATTGCCCCCCTCCCTCCCGCTCCTCCACTCTGTCCTCCCACCACCACCCACCTCAAAACACTGAGACCGAAGAGATGGGCTGGATGGTGCCTCCCACCACTTGTCAGCTTGGGAGGCCCTTCCCCCTCCGTGACTACAGTGTGTTCTTCCCCACCACCCCGCCCTTCCGCCTTCTGCATCTCCCCAGCTCTCCCTACCCTTCCCTCCTCTCTGCCACTCCTCTGCACTCCTGCATGTCTCTCCCTGCACCGCAGTCACTCTGTCCTCTCTGGGTCACTCTTTTGACCCTCTGAGGTGGAAGCTGTCCTTCCTCCCTGCCCTCCCTCCTGAGGGGCACAGGATGGGGACCTCACAGGCACTGATGGAGACAGAGGGACAGGCCAGGGGGGCCCAGGGCCTGAGCCTCCTCAGCTTCTGTCACTTCCAGTCCCTCCTCCTGGGTGAAGGGAGGGCTGTGTGCCTAACACCATGGAGACCAGCGTCATGGCAACAAAGCCCGGTGGGCACAGCCTTCCTCCTCCGGGGGCCCCCAGAACCCCCTAGGAGGAGCTGCCAAGAGGCCCTGAGGAGGTGGGCCTTGTGCTGGGCCTGGTGCCCAGCACTGGCTGCCGTGCCCGCCTCCAGCTCATACCACCCCCAGATCACCCCCATCCTGACCAGCTCTCCTGCAGCTTCCACTACCACAGGTCACTAATCCCAGTGGGGTAAAATCTTTTTGCAAACACGAACTCCAGAGCTGGGGACCCTGAGGGCTCATTTATAGACTGAGGGCCAGAGAGGGCAGGGGTTTGCCCAGGGGCACGCAGCATGTCTGGCCGAGCTCCTGACCCTTAGATCTCAGTTCTCTCCTCTGGCCTCCCACCTTCCACTCAGATCAGCTGTCAGTGAGGCGAAGAGGTCAGTTCAGCCACCTGGGAGGTCTCCAGCCAGTCCTTAGTGTTGGCAGTAATGACGATGCAAATGACGGTCCTGATAAGCCCTTACGAGGCACCCACCACCTGCTGGGCTAAGGCTTTGCATGTGTCGTTTTGTTTAATCCTTGTAACAAACCCTATAAAAAAGTTACTTTTTGTTTTCATTTTATCCCTGAAGAAACTGAGGCATAGACTTGCCAGTGTCAAGTGACTAGTAAATGGTAGAGCTGGAACAGGAACACAGGTCTTCCCCAGCCAGCGCGGAAAAGCCAAGGCTTTATGCATGGTTCCCCTCCCAGCAGGCACTCTTCTAAATCAGTGACAAACTGTGTTTTCCGTTCTGTCTTTCCTTCTGGAGAGAGTTCCTGGGGAAAGATCTGGGGCTCAGTCTAGGTCTGGCCTTAGGGTTTCGAGAAGTCAGGAGGTTTCTTTTCTAAGGTGATGGAGAGGGAACAGCATGTTTAGTCCTAGGGAAAACCTCCCTTGCAGTCCGGCAGTGCATAAACTAGTTCGCAATCTCCAGGTTCTTTCAGAGTCCTGTCTAAACCCAGGCTGGAGCCTCAGGATGGAGGGAGAAGATCCTCCCTCCTGGGCCCAGACGCAACTTCTCTCCCGACCTTGATGGAGTCACGTTGCAGCTTCTTCCCTGCTGGCTTATGTAATCATTCAAATATAGCAGCTGCCTTTATCCCACTGAGTCGCACCCCCTCCTGCCCCCCCACTCAGGTGCAGGGAGTGACGAGGGGGAAGAGGTAGATTAGGGCTGAGTGGGTGGCTCGGGGCCTCCTGGTAAGGAGGATGCTAGTGTGCTGGATTGGACGGTGATGGAGGTGAGGGAGCTGGGCCAGGGCGGCAAGGAGGGTAAAACCTTTCCCAGAGTTGGAAGCCACAGAGTCACTCCTTTTCTGACCTGCCCCTGCTGAAATTACACATTCCTGGGGATCCCTTCCCAGGGTTACAAGCTGTATCTGCAGATTTACCTCCCAGACCTCTGTCCAGCTGGAGGAGGAGAGGTGAAAGATTACAAGAGGAGGAGCTAGTCCAGTGGGGCAGTGACCAGCAGTCCTTGGTCATAGGCCCAGCCCTACCCTTTACTCACTGTGCGACCTGGGTGTGTTTCTGCCCTCTCTCACCTGTTCCCCCATCTGTACAATGAGGGATTGGACTCTACTGGCTCTAGCACCTTATGCTGCCTGATCCGTATCCCAGGAGATGACCTCGACCTTGGGCAGAAGGCACTTCCAAGTGTCTGGTCCAGCCCCATCCTAGGCTGACATCCCTCTCCTCTCATCTGTGCCCACCCTAAGTCTGCCAATCTTCCTGGGCCAGTTCAGCACTCCCACCCCATCCATGGGGCAGTGTAGGTAGAATGATAGGATTCTGAGCTGAGGGGCTGCCTCTCCCCTCCCTGAACTTGCTGTCTGTTACACCACTTCACCCCCCTGCCCAGCAGGAACGGGGAGCTCACTGCCCCCACCTGAGGTCACCCCTTCCCTCATAGGGCAGCTTTGGCTGATCCTGGAACCTGAAGTAGGCCCACGATGAATGCCTCAGCTCTCAGTTTCTGCATCCCCAAAGCCACCTTCCTGAGATGTGGAAGAAGCCATTCTGGAGGCAGTGGTGACCTTTTGTTCCTTTCAGCAAAGGCCTTGTCACCCATGGTGTGGTGGGGTCTGTGCTTAATGTGGAAATACAGGGAAGTATGCCAGGCCCCTGCCAAGGACATGGTGCTCCTCTAGGCATTGTCCTTGGAGCCACAGTTGGCAGCTTCTGGCTGAGGAGGGGAAGGAGACGCACTGTGGGATGGTTTCCTCTGATGCTTTCCCCCACCTCCCTGCTGGGATCTTGCTGCCAAGACCCAGATGTAGACATCCTGGCACCCAGCCAGAGGGAGTCACCCAGGAGTTTTCGGGCCAACCCTCCGTGAAACCGGTGTTCTGCCAATAACCAGCCTTCCCCCTGGAGAGCAGTGGGGTGTTTCACGCTCCACAGCCTCAGTCTTTTCCCTACAGGGGAGGAGAATTCCCACAGCAGATCGGTGAGGCCTGCACCAGCTGTGTCCTCACATCCACCTGCAGCCTCTTACTGAGGGCTTGCTCCAGTGTGTCCTGGACTGAGCTCTGAAGTGCCCCATCTCATTTCCACGCTCACCTGTGTCTCCTTACTTTCCTACCTCAACATTTCTTACTTGTATCTGGTGAGGCTGCCCAAAGGCTGGGGTTTGGAGCTGAGGTGAATAGGACTTCGGCCCATCCTTGAGGAAAATGTGATCCAGTAGGAGAAAGGAGATGGACCTGAGCAGGGGGATGAGGTGTTGGGACAGGTGGCAAGATAGGGAGGGGAGAGACAGCCAGGCATGCTCCGCCCAGAATCCAGTTACCCCTCCTGCCTACCCTGTCCCTGGTGGGTGGGGGCAGGTGTGTGTTGAATTGGCCTAGGAAGGCTGGGCCAGGATTTGGGATGGGCAGAGAAAAGGAAGACAGAGGGAAGTCAGCCTAGGAAGGGAAACAGACTATATACCAAGTCAAGGAGGAGAAAAGGACTAGCATGTGCTTAGGGACTAGACCCTGCGCCACCTGGAGCAGAGGGTGGAGAGGTCAGCCAGGGTCGATCATGAGAAACCTCAAATGCCAGGCTGAGGAGCTTGGCCTTTATCCTGAGAGCACTGGGAACCAAGCAAAGGTTTTGAGGAGGAGTTAACATGACCAGCTAGATGTCTTAGAAAGTCAGTGCTAGAGGCAGGATGGAGATGGAATAAAGGGATTGTGTTGGAGTAGGGGGCTGGAGAATGGGAGTAGGGAGTAGGTGGAAGGGGGAAGTATGGAGTAGGGAAGGGGGGAAGTATGCTGGGGCTCAGCACAAGGAGGGAGTGGATAAATGTGAGGGAATTACAGAGGGAGAATTGACAGGCCTTGATGACAGATTTGACAGAGGAAGTGAAGGAGAGCGAAGAGTCAGGGCAACTTTGAAGTTTCCAGATTGGGGATTAGACGTTTGCTGATGCCTTTGATAAAGACAAAAGATGCGTTGATGTTGAATATTTGAGTGTGAGGGGCTTGTGAGATGTTCCCAGAGGATATGTTGAGGAGGTAGCCTGTACTGGACATCTGGAGCTCCAGAGAGAGGGCTGGCCCACAGGGGGCACTCGGGAGTTGGGGTGTTGGGGGAGCGCTCCATGCTCCGTGGGGGTGGGGTGGATAATGATGGGAAGCAGGGTCCGGTCCTCCAGTGAGGAGGCAAAAATAGGAAGAATCAGTGAGGGAGACAAAGGAGCAGCCGTCTGGAAGGGGCGAGTGAAACAGCCGCCTGGGAGGGGCCGGGGAGGACAACGAGAAGAAGACGCCTTCTTTGGCAGTGAGGAGGTAGCTGGAGCCTGCGGTCCTCGCGAGGCGGTGGGCGCGGAGCGGAGGCCGGATCCCAGAGGCTGCATCCTCCCGTCGCTTTTGGCAGCCACCCGCCTCCCAGGAACATCCTGCTTCCCACCAGCTCCCCAACAAGCAAAAAAATGATGTCTGCTGGCCGGCTGCGGGGCAGTGGGCCAGGGCGTGTGAACGCGGTGCAAGCTGGTCAGCACCCTGGAGAGCGGCCGGGGGCGGGGCCTGCGGTGGGGCGGGGCTTCGCCGTAATCTCACGGGGCCTTTGATTCCTGCACTGGCTGGTTTTGCAGGCCGGTTCGAGGTGGAGGAGTGAAGAGCAGGCCTGGACAGTCTCAGGCCTTCTCTCTTTTCGGCACCTGCCCCCTCCCGACACTGCCTTGCAGGAACCCTACCCCAGCATTTGGGGCTGTTAACTCCCTTGGCGCCATCAATTCAGTCTCTTTAGGGGAGGGAAGGGGAGAGTGCACTATGTACCAGGAACTTTATGGACATTACCCAAACCTCACAACTCTTTGAGTTTGGAGCTTGTCACCCATCTTTCAGATGAGAACACTAAATTGAAGTTCAGAGAGGTGAAATAACTTGCCCAGAGCACATGGCAGAGCTGGGATTTGAACTTATACCTGCCTGGCTCTAAGTCCTGGAGTGCGCATAGTCCTGGATCTTGCACCTCATTCCTACAGACTCCTTACTTCCGGGGCCACTGTAGAGGCTGGTGTGCTGGTGTGGCAGTGGGGTGGGCAGGAGGCTCTACCTCCCCGCCTGACTTGCTTGAGCATAATCCTGGGAGATTTTTGAAGATGAGACCTCTACCATCATTTCCAGAGCAGGAGAGGAGAAAGAAGGCTGAGAGGCAAGTAAGGCCTCAATGCACCTGCTCCCCTCCACACCCAGGAGGCACCCTCCTTTGAATCCTCTGACTCAGCTTCTGACCGCCAGGCTCCTCAGGGCATGAAAGGGAGCTGTGAAAGGCCAAAACTGGACGTGGTCCAGGGCCTTGGCTTTCTGAGCCCGTGGAATGCCTTCCCAGCTAGCAGGCATGGAGGGGCAAGGTCCTAGGCATGGGCCAGGTTGAGGAAACAGTTTGCCCAGAGCTTTCAGAGATCTAAAATTCCACCTTCTGAGGCCACAGTGGGAAGCAAAGCCTCCCTCACATTTTCTTTCCTAACGCTTCCTAAGTCACAGACAACTGCTTTCTGTAGCCCTCGGCCTGGGCAGGCCTCCTGCACAAGCTCGGTCATTCCTGTCCACCCCCATCCCTGGACGCACCCACACCCCTCAGCAGGGTCAGGTTTCCACTCAGCCTCGTGGGCTTTTCTGCCTGGAGCTCGGTGTGTGCTGCAGGGGTTACTCCCCGTCACAGCTCAGAGAGCTGGGGTTACTGGTGAGGGTTATGTGTAGCTCCTCTATCCTGGAATACACCCCCTTTTCCTGGGGTGTATACACCCCTCTTTGCCTTAAAAAACCCAGCTGATATCCTCTCTTCTGGAAATGCTTGCCAACCACTGGGCTCCCTCTGGGCACCACAGACCCTGTGCTCCCCTCTGTCACACAGCAAGTACCCCCTTCCCCTTGCCTGGGTGCTGTTCCCAGGCAAGGCACCGTTGAGTCATATCTGATGAAGTTGGCCAGTGGTAGATGTTCCTGAATGAATGATTGAATGAATGAGGAAGTTAGTGGTGGAACCAGGACTTGAACCCCCATCTCCTGCCTCCAGGTGTGGAGCTTTCTCTCCTCTGTCCAACAGGAGCTTTGCTGAGGCAGTTCCCTACCTGTCCCATTGCCTAAAATGCCCCTATTCCATTAGGTTAACGCTTCCTCCTCAGGAGTCAGGAGTCTGTCTGCCCTCAGGGACATGGCAGAGGTGAAGCAGGCCCTCCCCTATGCCTATAGTCTGTGGACAGTGAAGCCATGTGGGGCATGCTGTGGCCTGGGTGCCACAACTCCTAGTAGAATTCCATGCTCATGCATCAGCTCCCACAGTGTCCGAGCTAAATAGAGCCCCCAAGAGGTGGACTCTGTGATGAGGCTTTGAGTCCAAAGACCATCAGCAAAAGCCCCCTGAGCCTCCTGTGTACCCAGCTCCATGCTGAGGATGCACCCTAGGACATGATACAATCCCAGCAAGGGAAGCCAGAGAATCCAGTTCTGCCAGGAAGCCCTGTGGCCCTTCCATACTTGAGGAGGGCATGGGGGTGTCGCCTTGCCCTGAGGGTCTGGGTTCTGTCTACCTGCCCCTCATACCTAGATCCCATCCTAGCTCACAAGCATTGAAAATGCCTCAAAATCCCTTATCCTCACATTTCTCTCTCTGGGATCCTCCATCAGCTTTCTCCCTCTCTCTCTCTCTCTCTCTCTCTCTCTCTCTCTCTCTCTCTCCATTTCCATGTCTTTTCCCCCCCGTCTTTGTTCCTCTGTGTGTGTGTTTTCCCTATAACTCTGATCTTTTGTATTTCCAACTTGATCTCTATGGGGCTTTGATCCCTCGCTCCTCTCCTTCATGTGTTTCTCTACCCCTTCCTGTCTCTGTTTCTCTCAGTCTCTCCCTCTGTGTGTGAGTCTTTCTTTTCCTCTCTCCCAGCCGGAGCCTCCATCTACCCCTCCCTCCCTCTCTCCCTCTGTCTGGGCCTCTCTGTTCCTCCTCCCTCCTCCCTCCCCTTTCTGCATTACCAGACCTGCTCCAACCTCCTCCCAGAGTAAGCCTAGCGGCAGAGGCAGTGGCAGCCAGAGAAGCAGGAGCAGCCAGGGCAGCAGGGCTGGATTGGGGTGTTGAGTCCCGGCTGAGCCGGGGACAGGCCGCTGCTCTCGGTCCCCGTGCCTGCTGGGCCAGGCGCCCTGCCTGGAACCCCGGGCAGGGTGGACAGGGCGAGGTGCCACTTTAGTCTGGCTGGGGAGGCAGATGATGAGGAGCGATGGGGCAGGCATGCGGCCACTCCATCCTCTGCAGGAGCCAGCAGTACCCGGCAGCGCGACCGGCTGAGCCGTGAGTACTGTCGAGGGGCTGGGGTCCGGGTGAGTGGCTGCAGGAGGAGCCACGGACAGGGTCCTGGGAGTCCCTCCAGGGGGCTGGGGTTGGCGTAGAGCTGAGCCACGTGGTTGGATCGATCCTGCTCCAGGGCACCCTGTTGCTGGACTATAGCATAGAGGGGGTTCTCTGTGCAGGGCGGGGTTGCCTGACATCAACCTAGGGCGTGTTGGGGCTGGGGTCCCATAGAAGGGGATGGTGGCTACGGGAGGGCTTGATAATGAATGTGAACCATCCCTTCAGGGGCTGGGGGTGGGGGAGGTCTGTGTGTGTGTGTGTGTGTGTGTGTGTGTGTGTGTGTGTGTTTCCAAGGAGCCCTGGAGTCTGATAGACTTAATTCAGGACTCTGGAGAGGGATGATGTCCCAGACCAGCGTGTGTGTGTGTGTGTGTGTGTGTGTGTGTGTGTGTGTGTGTGTGTGTAGAGAGAGAACATGAATTATGAATGAGTGGCCCTGGAGCAGGAGAGGGTCTGGGGCAACTGCTCTCCATGGAATGAGGATTGGGATTCAGAGCTGGCAATTTAGGCAACTTTGTCCCCGAAGCCCCTGTCCCAGAGAGAGTCATGGGGCTGGCTGGGATGTGGCTCCTGTGCACCAGCCTCGTGAGCACCCACATGCAGCGAGATGCACGTGCAGGTGAGTGGAGGGGATTCTGTGGAGATGCCCTTCCACCATCTGAGGGCTGCCGAGGTAGCAGGCAAGTGACATGTGTCTCCAAGTCAGTGGCGGTGCAGGTCTATGCCAGGCTATGTGTGTGTGTGTGTGCGTGTGTGCATACATGTGGCGGGTACAAGGGACATGTGGGGTGTAGAGGAGCATGTAGAGTTCTGGGGTCCTTGGTGGTTGGATGTGCAGCAGCCTGTCAGGGTGTGTGAGCATCCCGGTGTGACTCTCAGAGTTTTTGTGAGAGTATGTGTGCAGGGGTGTGTGTGTGTATGCATGTGTGTGTGTTTGAATTTGTATATTGGCATGCATGTTAATGTGTGCTGTGTCTGCAAAATAGAGTGACTCAATATTGAGCATGTTGTCTGATTCCATGTGTATTCATGTTGGTGTGTGTTTGTTAGTGTGTGAATATTAATACTACCGTGTGTGTGTGTGTGTGTATACGTGGGTGTCTGTATTAGCATGTGTTCCAGTGTGGGTGTGATCATGGTGCTAGTGTGCATGAGTGTGTATGTTGGTGCTTGTGTGGCTGGTGTGTGTGTGTGTCTATGTGTTCATCTGAGTGTGTGTGAGTGGCTGTTTCCTTCCCCTGGTGGTTGAGGACACAGCTGGGACACTGGCCCACCGAGGCCGGGTGGGGGTGGATGAATGTGTGACCACCTCCATGAGCTCAGGACAATTCATTCTACACCCTGTGGGGAGATCCAGAAAAGAAATAGGCAATAATGGCTCTGCTCTCTGGGGCCTCCTAAGCTTCCTAACATAAAATAGCTTGAAAATAATTAAGCAGTAAAGACCAAGATCAAGCTAAGAGGTGGGGGTGGGGCGTGGCCACAGAATAAGCAAAGGCCCTGGGCTGGGATGGGGCGTGTGCCTGGAGCAATGAGGACGCTGGAGGGGTAGGCAGGAAACGCATCGTGTGGGGCTTTGAACTCCAGGCTTCTTGGGCTTTATCCTGAGGGCCCTGGGGAGTCCAGAAGGGTTTTGTGCAACAGAGGGACATGATCAGATTTGGGATTTAGAAAGCTGCCTCAATGGCACTGTCAAGGTTAAACTGGAAGGGAAGGGTGGGAGCCAGGAGGCCAGTGTGGAGGCTAAACCAGTGTGGGTATCAGTGAGGTCTGGGGCCACGTGGGCCAAGGGGCAGATGAGACCAGGGCTTTCTGAAGGGAGAGGTTGGAGGGCTTGGGAAAGAGGATGGGGAAGGGGAGCATGGGAGTGGCTCAGGCTTGGGCCAGGGTTGGGGGGGGGGTGCAGTGGCGTGACCTCAGAGGGTCCAGATGTGGGGAAGGAAAAGCTCTTGGAAGGCTCAGACATGGAAGGTAGTGAAGGGACCCTGGTAGAGTTTCTAGCCAGGGTGCAGAGGGTCTGAGACTGTGGAGCCATCTCTTCCCAGACAGGGAAACCAAAGCTGTGGCATTGTCGCTCTCCTCCAGCTGCGAGGCTCGTGCTGAGTCTCAGTCCTCTTCCCTTCGGGCCTGCACAGGCCCTCTTGGTTGCCTGAGCTGGATGGCTCCATGAGGGTTAACTGCCTTTATGCTCCTGCACCCCCCAGCTCCCCCTGCCCACCAAACAGCTCCTGGCTCTGTTCCTGCTTCCCACTCCAGCCTCTTGTCCCTGGGGATTACTGATGGCTTGGCTGGGATCTGGCCAAATGGGGGAGGCAGAACTCCCAGCAATACCTCCTTTCGGTCTTAATGGACTGGGGGTCTCACCCTCAGCTACGCTGCTGTCACATCCAGCCTGCACTCCTCGGGCTTCTGCTGCTTCGGCCTCTCCAATCTACCCACTCAGTGTGCTTCCATTCCTGCATCTGATCATTCATTCGTTGATTCCTTTACTCAACAGAGATCCCCCAATGCCTGTTTGGTGCCCGCTGGCTTGGCCTCTGAAGACACAGAGAGGACCCTGACTCAGACCCTGCTCTCAGGGAGTGCCCAGTCTGATGAGGAAGGCAGCAGTGGCAACGCAGTGGAGAGTGCTGGGCAGAGAGAAGCTGTGGGAGTGGGGGCCTGCACTAAGCCAGGGCTGCCCAAGAAGAGACATTTGAGCTGGATCTTGAGGGATGGATAAGAATTGCCCAGGCAGGGAAGGGCAGAGGAAAAAGCCTGTAAAAGTGGGTAGATGTGAGAAAGCACAGTGTGTTCGAGGGGCAAAGAGAGTTTGGGTTGGCAGGAGTGAGAAGGGAGTTGAGAAGAGGAAGAGAGGCAGAAGGGGCCAGATTCTGTAGGGTCTCAGGTGCAAGGCTAAGGGGCTTGTAGGGGCTTGGATTTTCCTCATAAAATTAGGGAGCTAGGGAAAGGCTTCTGCATAGGAAACCTCCCCTAGGAAGCCCTCCCTTGGTTCCCCGTTCCCTCTGATCCCATCACCCACCCTGAAGTCTTTCTCCCTGATGGTACAGGGTCAGGAATGCAGCCCCGATTCAGCCTTCCCCTGTGATGTCCCCTGTGTGTGAGCTCCTTACCCAGCCAGCCAAGGAGTTCCTCAAAGGCAGGAGCCACCTCCTTGTGCTTCCCCACCCCACTCACAGCACAGGGCTGGGCACCAAGGCTCAGTCAGTGCAGCCTCCAAGGCAGAGAGGACATGAAGAGCATCTGGGCCACCTTCTAGCAGTTACTTCACTCCTCTCTACAGCTTGGCCGCAGATCTATCCAGCCCTGCTTACATACTCCCAGGGGAAGCATGCTCATCCCTTCCCTCTTGGGCAGCCCTTCCCTTGTAGGCCCAGCTACTCCAGGCTGCCTGGCCTTGTGTCATTTCTCCATCCTGGGTCACTGTCCTTCTTCCCAAGCAGGGCCAGGCTGGGGCATAGTGGTTCAGTAGTGCTATGAGAGATCAGTGGTCTTTATTCCAACTACAGATGGTAAAACAGATTGAGCAGTCCCTGCGCCCTCTCCAAAAATAAAGATAAAGAAGCAGGCATGGCCAGAGTAGGGAATGGGGATAGACAATGAGGAGGATGTCCTACCGGCACAGAGGGTCTATGGAATCTCCTGGCTTCACAAGAGCGGGATGTGGGCATGAGGGGAAGTTTCCCAGGACAGGAGGGGGAGTTGGAGGCAGAGACACTATTAGCCCCACCCCTCCTGCAGGTGAGTGATGTCATCCAGGGAGAGGGGGACTGGAGGGGCTCAGATAGACAGGGGAGGGGCCTCAGGATTCCTTCCTTCCTTCTTTCAGCAGCCATTCAATGGATTGCTGCCCTACCAAACGTGGCAGCTCTTCAGGGAGAGGGACAGAGCCAGTGACCACTTGGAGGGAAGCCTGTGGTCTTTCCTACCTCTGCCAGTGTCAGACAAAGGAATTTAGGAGGAGGGGCCTTGGGGCTGGCCTTAAAAGGAAGAGTCACTTCTCCCGGCAGAACTGAGAGACAGCTCCAGGAAGAGGGAATGCCACATAAAAAGGCCTTGAGGTGAGCACAAACATGGTTTTATTTATGTGAGGACTGTTAAGAGTTCAAAGTGGCCTAAGTGTGAAGTTCAAGGGTGGGGGAAGGACTGGGCAGAGCTGGAGTAGGAGAGGAGTGAAGGAATTGAGGTTAGAGTAGAGGAAGCGCTTTCTGCCACCAAGGTGTCCCCCAGCAGCTTTGACATGTAGGCCTGGTGCAGATTCTTGGGGCTGCTGAGGGTCTCCTCATTGTTTGAGAATGGGGTGTTCAGTGAACAAACAGAGACTCTGGAAATGAGGGAGAGGCCGGGGCTGAAGAAAGTGGGCCCCTTCCAGAAAGTGGCATGCAAATGAATGCAAAGTAATATGCAAATAAACCAGCTTGGGCTTGGCAGCTTTGGCTGGGAGGAGGAAACGTCACCCCCTTCCATGCTGGCCTCCCACCCACTCTGCCGCAGCCCCCAGGACAGCCGGAGCAGCCTTGTCTGCTGCTTTGAGCACCTCAGTTTGTCAGAGCCACAAGATCGTGGCCTCCAGGACAGGGGCTACAGGCACCCTGTCGGCAACCCCATCCTCTCGGGAAGTAGATGTATTTAGTAACAGATATTTTCAACACATTTATCTTCCACTGTTCAGCTGCCCATTCCCTGGGAGAGGCCAGGTCCCCAGGGATGTGACCCACTTCTTTTAAGTCCCTGAAGTCACCCTTCTCACTGCCTTCCCTGAAAAACAGGAGGCAACTGGGGCTTGGTGCAGCAGAAAGGATTTAAATCAGACAACTGGGAGGACTTCCCAACAGTGTAGTTGCTGAGCTATGAGAACCCTGTGTCTTCTGGGCTCTCACTCTTGAGATGGCTACCCTGAGTTCAGAGGAAGCTTTGAAAATAGAATAGAGAAGGTAGCAGACAGACATAGATTCCAGTTTCAGCAACTTTACTCTGTATGGTCCTGGTCAACTTAATTAACTTCTCTGAGTCCCATGTGGATAATGGAGTGGGAATAATAATACTTTCCTGGCAGGATAACTGAAGGATCTGGAAGTGGAGCGCTTAGCGCCAGGCATGCAGCAGGTGCTCATAAAGATTCGCTGCTGCCATTATGAACCACCCACACTCACCTACCCTTTTAGAAAGATTCAGTGGGGGGCTGGAGGGGGAGAGACCAGAGCTAGTGAGCCCAGAAGCTGTCATCCCGTGGGAGAGACAAAGAGGTCTGAAATGGAGCAGTGGTGGTGGGAATGGTGAGAAGTGTGGATGTTCTGTGGGAGGGACCGAGGGGCCTCAGAGACATGTGACCACCTCCCTGGGCTGCCCTGTCTGGTCTGAGACTAATCCCCAGGGAAAACAGTGGAGGAAAGGGCCTGATGAGGGCTTAGGTCTGTGGCCGCGCCCATGGCAGTCTGTGAGTCATTCTGGGAGTTGTAGTTTCCAGTGAATTTGCAGTGAGTACATTTTGTACTGCCACCTTGGATCCAAATCCACACCCTGCTGCTGAGGCTGGTGGGGCAGGCCCTGGTGAATGTTGGAATATTCGAGACCCAAAGGTGAAGCAGCCTCCACCCCTTCCCTCGGGGATCGCTTAGCCTGATGTGTGTTGGCGGGTGCAGGGATAAAAGGATTAAGCCATAATTATGACTCTTCACACGTTCACACAGAAGTTTACAGCTTCCAGAGTACTGTTTTCACATCTATGATCTCATTTAATCCTCACCACAAACCCCAGAGACTGCTGTCTTCTGGATGAAGAGACAGGATCTGAGAGGGGAAAATAACTTGCCCAGAGGTATTCAGCTAATACCGAGAGAACAGGTCTGTCTGCCCCCCAAAGCTCCTGCCCTTTCCATGGATTATTGTCCCAGATGGCAAAGGCCAGGCCTCGAAGGACAGGCAAGATATGGAAAATTAGACATCTCAGCAAAGGAGCAGCTGAGCAAAGACCTGGCTCCAGAGTAAGAAGCAAGGGCTGGGCTCCTTGGGATATGAGACTAAGAGATGGACTGGCCAGCCCCAGAGACCTAACTCCAGGCTTTGTTTGGACTTCTTGCTGTGGTCCACTAGGACTTACCCAAGGGTTCTGAGCAGAGGCAGGACCTGATTAGAGCTGAGCTTTGGGAGAATTGAGCTTACAGTCCTGGACTGATTGGACTGGAGCAGGGATACCCAAGAGAGCCTGAGACTTCTGAACTCCATTCTTGGTGCTCCCAGAATTTTGCTCCTCTTCTTCCGGCACACTTCTCAACTTCTCCTTCTTCCTCTCCCCCTTCCTCTTCTTCCTCTCCCTTCTACCTATTCTCCTCCACCACAGCCTGGGGAGTGATGACCATATATCATAGAGCTGTGCTGTAATGCCACATATCTCCAGCAGGGGTGCTGTGACACACAGTCCATTCTAGCCTTCTTTATGTTTGAAGAGGCTGGAAAAGGAGCAGAGATGAAGGGTGGGGAGAGGGCAATCCATTGTTCTCCACCTCCATCGTGCTGGGCGTGAGAGGGCCCTGCTGAAATGGCATAGGGAGGAAGTAGGCTGGAGAGACTGGACCCCACATGGCAGGGACAGACACGCTGGAGGGGTTGAACCTGGAAACAAGAAATTTTTCCTCACCGTTCTGGGGCAGGCTTAGATTTGGAAATGGATTTAGACTGACATTGCAGTTGGTGTCTGGATTTCTATTGGATGATGATTTCCTTGATACTTAGATGGGAGCGAGATTGGTTGGTTTCTTTGTGTTTCTGTGTGTGTGTGTGTGTGTGAATGTGAACTTCCAGTTGTACATGTGTGTATATGGGTCTGAGAGGGTGAGAGTGTGTAGATCAGTGTTTGTATAAAAGTGTGGACATATTCATATGTGTGAACATGTGAGTGTCCATTTTTATGCCCGAGTTATTGGTAGATGGTGGCTTGTTTGTATGTGTGCCTGTGTGTAGAGTGTTATGAACGTTGTTCTAGTAACGCTGTGTAGATGTGTATGTCTGTGTATGTGGGTGAACATGTCCGAGTGGGAGAGCACAGATGAGTGGATGTGTGTGAAGGTACCTGCTCTGCCTGACAGCAAGGCCATGCCCAAGGTATAGCTACTCAACACTTTCTCTCCTGGATAACACCTGCCTAAAGGGAGAGACAAGATGTGCGTGGACTTAGGCTGAAGGGACTGTCATGTGCGGGGCTGGGCTTCCTTCCGGGGACTCTGGCCCGCTTCTAGTCAGTGAGGGCCCTGGAAGGAACAGATTGTCTCTGTGTCCAGGCTCAGGTGGGGCCAGCCAGGATCCTGGGCCATCAGACTGAGATGCCGGACATGGCTAAGAGGTGTCTAGCTTCCATTCTTCCTGGGAACTCTTAATGGCTGCACCTGTTCCCCACTAGAGAGTTTCAGTGACTCTCAGTCCAGTCTTCTCATTATATAGATGCAAATATTGAAGTCCCAGAGTGGGGTTAGTGATTAGCCCAAGGTTTCACAGCAGGATCCAGGGAACGATGGCAGGGCTTGGAACAGAGAGGGGGGTATGTCTGGCCTGGAAGGCCTCCCTCCCTCCAGCCTCTGGAGCAGGCAGGGAGCTCAGAGTAGAGGTTCAAGTCTGTGCCATGAGGCCACCTCCTGTACCTGGGCATTTCGACTCCTCCCAGGCCTCAGACGCCACCTTTGAAGTTTCTACCAGAGCCTCTGCTTGCTGTGAGACTCCTCCAAGGAACCTGTGAAGTCTGTCATTCTGTGGAACATGGAGACTCGATGCAGAAGAGTCCAGCAGTGGGGTGGAACCAGGGAGGGGCCTCCTCTAGAAGCCTCAATGTCCTTATCTTTGTATCAGATGTCTTTGTAGGTTTCTGTTGTTCTAACATTCAAGGCTTTCCCTAAAATCTCTTCTTAGTCTCCTAGTACTGAGACTTTGCTGGGATTTGGGGGAGTCCTGGAGGCCCAGCTTGGCTCAGTGTGAGGGGGCCAGGGTAGCCCCATAGGGAAGAGGCTGCCCTGGGAAAGAAGGATGAGCTTCCTGTCCATGGGGTAGGGAGGTGAGAGCAGGGGCTGGGCAGCCTGGTTAGGGACGTGGGAGATGAGACTCCTGCCCTAGCAGGGAAGTTGGTGGCAAACTCTCAGAAGTTTGTTAATCTGTAGCTGCCATGGAGGGACCAGAGGACATGCCTCTGCCCATTCTGTAAGAGGAGGTTTGAGCCCCAGAGTGCTCCCCCTGGCGGCCTGGGCAGTGGGAAGGTGTGAGGTTAGACCATCCAGCTGGAAGCAGGGAGATCCCCCTCCTAGGGGGAACTGGAGAAAAATTTGTCTTCCTGGAGATTTGGGATTGGAGGCAGGGGGCTGGATGTGAGGACATTCTGGTGGAGGTAGGAGTGGGATGGGTAGGACTGGCCAACTCTGCAGTGGTTTTGCTGGTTCAGCACTGGCGAGGGAGCAGACAGACAGACACACACACAGCTTCCTTTGTGCTGAGTCGTTGGGGGTCTAGGGTGGGAGGCCCCTGGCTGGGGGCTCAGACATTGGCTCTGGGTGGAGCAGGGATGGAGGCTTCCTGGTGCTGGGGGCTGGGCGGGAATTAGGGTAGCAGAGGAGAGGAGCAGGCAGCCCAGTATTGCATCCTTCCAAAACCAGAGAATTCTAAGTTATCTTTTCTTTTTTTATAAATTTATTTGTTTATTTATTTTTGGCTGCATTGGGTTTTTTTTGTGGTGTGCGGGCTTCTCATTGCGGTGGCTTCTCTTGCTGCAGAGCACGGGCTCTAGGTGCGTGGGCTTCAGTAGTTGTAGCACGTGGGCTCAGTAGTTGTGGCACATGGGCTTAGTTACTCCGCGGCAAGTGGGATCTTCTCTTACCAGGGCTTGAACCTGTGTCCCCTGCATTGGCAGGCTGATTCTTAACCGCTGTGCCACCAGGGAAGTCCCCAAGTTATCTTAAAACTTAAAGTGGAGTGGGGTTTAGGGGCTAGATGGAGAGAACAGTGTTTACAGAGTGCCCTTTATGCAGTTGTCCCTCGGTATCTGGGTCCCTCTGTGGACACCAAGCTCTGAGAATGCAAAAGT